TGTCAGATCAACCCTTAAGCCTGCTGAGCAATGCTGCTTCTTCAAAGTGCTTCAGTAAGGTGAAAACACAGCAAATTAGACAGCATTATACACTAATCCAAACTCACTGTCAAGGATATGTACTGTTCTCTGCCAAAGCCAAGCAAAGGAATTTTAGCTCACAACCACATAGACAATGACATGAAAACACAATGGTCCTTTCTGTATTTCCATTTTCGTCCAGCTCTTGACATATTTTGCAAGCTAAAATTCTTGCATAGGAAAAAAAGTTTCAAATGTTATGTCAACATTAGGACAGGGAAATAAAAAAGACACATCATCTCATAATGTCTTAGATTTAGAACAACTACCATGTGGAGTCCATAATCAGTAACTTTCTACACCTGTGCACCCGGAGGAAAAAAATGTTGCTGTTAAATCAAATCTTGTATGTACGTGTGTGTGTGTGTGTGTGTGTGTGTGTGTGTGTATTTAACCACTCAAAACCAGACACCCAATATTTTGTTATTTTCTTACTCTAAGGGTGAGGTTAGTCTATGATGGGATTGCTGTGAACAGTTTTATTCTACATTTCTTCCTCACTTTTTCTAAATCGTAGAGCAGCACCACCCAACAGAAATATAATGCAAGCAACATTATTTTTTATTTTAAAATTCCTGGTAGCCACAGTTTTAAAAAAGAAAATTAAATATATGAAATTAATTATAATGATTATATATTAATTATAATAATTATATATTTAACACAATATATCAAATATCATTTTACATAATACAAAGATTATTGACATATTTACATTCATATTTTCATACTGTCTTTGAAATCCAATGTGTATATTATACTTATGACACATGTCAATTAGGACACTAGCTGTTCATCAGAAATACTTTGTCAGTATTTAGATTTCATAAGCTTTAGAGTTAAAAAGTAGATCCACATAACCAGGTCATCCCAACCATACTTAAAAGTTTTCCAAAAACCAAATCAAGGGCAAGTTTTAAATTTAAAATTAAATTAATTAAAATTAAATAAAATTTAAAATTTAGTTCCTCAGTAGTGTTAATCATAATCCAGTGCCCAACAGCACCATGGGGTCAGGCAGTGAGGCTGTCATCTGCATCCAAAACTACCAAAATGAAAGATGCTCTGCAGACCACCTCAGATACACTCTGCCAAAAGACACTTTTGAAAACTGAATAAAAAATGTTCTCCCTAATGTAAATTGGTACAGCCACTATGGAAAACAGTATGGAGGTTCTTCAAAAAATTAAAAATAGAATTACCATATGGCCCAGCAATCCGTCTTCTGGGTATCTACCCAAAAAATCTGAAAACATTTATCCTATGTTCATCGCAGCATTATTTACGGTGGCCAAGACACGGAAATAACCAAAGTGTCCTTCGACAGATGACTGGATAAAGAAATGTGGTATATATACACAATGGAATATTACTCAGCCATAAGAAAATATGAAATACTGCCATTTGAAGCAACATAGATAGAACTTGAGATTATGCTAAGCAAAATAAGTGAGAAAAAGTAAAAACTTTTATTTTCATATGTGGGATATAAAACTGAAAGCAACAAACAAACAAAACAAACAAAAACTCATAGACACAGAAAACAGTTTAGTGGTTACCAGAGGGTAAGGGGGAGTGGGGTGGTAAAAGATGGTAAAAGGGGTCAAATATATGGTGATAGGAGAATTGACTTTAGGTGGTGAACACACAATGCAATATATATAGATGATGTATTATAGAAATGTATACTTGAAACCTCTATAATTTTACTAACCAATGTCATCCCAATAAATTTAATAAACTAAAATAAATGTTCTCCCTAAATGAGACCCTTTCTGTTTAACTTTTCCCCAAAGCATTATACGACCCACGCACTTATTTTGAGAAATCGAAAATAGAATCATCAGTTTTAATATACCAGTAAGGGTCTACATCTAATAAAAACACAAGAACCTCTAGGATGCTTTGTACATTTATACAAATAGAGTCAACTTTCTATTACCTGTTATTACATTATTCATAGAAGGGGGAAAGTAGTTCAAATGCCCTGCTAATTTATGTCTATGTGTTGATTTATTTAACCTGCTGATGAAGACTTTCACAAACTGGAGGGCAGGATCAGAGGACGCTGGAAAGATTGACTACTTTGAGGAAATACTTTAGCTGTTTCTGAGCTCTGTGTTTTCTAGCAAAATCTAGTCATGAATAACCTGTCAAAGCCATTCATTTGTAACTGAACTAGTACAGAACCAGGAAAAGGGGAACTGACCTTATGCTAAGTAAAGCTTTGCAAAGAACGTTCTTGCCTCTCACCCATGTAGATTAATGTTAAGAATTTGGGCTAGAGAGTCAACCTGTCTAGGTTGGAAATCTTGTTCCGCGACTTTCTCTACCAGTTTAACTTTGGGCAGGTTACTTGACCTTCCTGTGTTTCATCTATAAAATGGCCATAATAACAGGACCTAAGTCAAAGAATGCTATGAGAAATAAATGAGATTTGACAGGATATAAAACATCTTAACACACATCACTGACCCTGGTCCATGCTATGTGTCTAAGAGTTATTATCTTTAGCTCAGAAATCTGACTAATAGAGATGGGGATATACATTCAATAAATACTTGTTGTAAATGAAAATATAGCTCTTTATAAATGCCAAAGTGCTATATAAGCTATTTTTACCCTATGTAAAATAAGTTTAGAGATTGGATCTATTCAGACAATATATTTACTTGAGAAAAAAATAGATCTTCATAATGTGGCTTACAAAGTTCTATTAAAATTTTACATGGACCAGCCCAGTGGCGCGTTGGTTAGGAGTTGGCTTGGGACGCCAGCTCAGAGCAGCAGGGCCCCGGTTTGGATCCCACATTAGGGCCAGTGATGCTGCACCCTCTACAGCTAAGATGGTGAACAACAGCTCAACCTGGAGCTGGGCTGCCGTAAGTCACTGGCGAGGGCGTAGGCTGCAGTGGGCTACCTTGAGTGGCCGGCAGCCCAGTGTGAGCTGCCGTGAGCCACTGTAAGCGGCGGTCTAATGGCTAGCGATTGACTGCCTCACCTGAGAAGAGCACAATGATCACAATACCAACATGGGCCAGTGAAGTGATGTCCTCCACAACTAGACTAAAGAACAAAAGGACAGCAACTTGTCTGTTCTCCTCCACAACTAGACTAAAGAACAAAAGGACAGCAACTTGTCTATTCTCCTCCCCCAGTTTCCCGATAAAATCTTTAAAAAAAGAAAATTATAAAGCTTTTCAGCAACAATCAAACCCATGCTATTCACTTAAAAAGTGCTAACATGCATATCAAAACCAAATAGAAGTTATTTATCTGTCATTGTCACTTTAGGTTGATCCATGGCTCTTCTCTCCTCCATTACAAGCAGCAGCATATTTCATACAACAGCCAATAAACTCTCCTATGATGTTCTAGAGAATTCACAGCTAAAAATCTTAAGTCTCTAAAAACGGTTTCTCTTACAGCTGAATTTTCTGCTTCCATTACTATTTTATGCTCCTTCTTCATCTTCCTTGACCAAATCAACTAACAAAACTACCTCTTACTGGGTTTCCTGTCTTTTTCCTCCCCTTCCTCCACCATGGTCGCATCATAAGTATTAAAAGGCCAAAAGAGACATAGTGCAGTAAATAGGAAAAACAAACTAATCAACAATTGAATAAGTATCCCTAGAATAACCAAGAAGTCCAAATTAAAACTTCAAAAGCTTTGTAAAGGTGATTCTAAACAGCCATAAAACTGTCACCTCCATGGGTGGTCATTTCCTGGTCTGTAAAGGAAATGTAAAAAAAAAATCTTTAAAATTCATTTTATCCTTTAAATTGATTAAAGATACAAAGTACATATATCTAAAACTGTCATTTCTCTGCCTAACCAAGATTTGTCACTAAAATAATTATAGAAATGCTGACATGATAGGATTTTCAAAATAACTTTCCGGAAAGACTACAAGAGTGGAGGATTTTTAAAAAATAATTTCATGGATAACAGATTTTTATAATCCTTAAAGTCTACATAAAGAGAAGGGAATTCACAGTAGCAGACTATCCCAGCTGTGAAAGCAACGCATTTATTCCACCATGAATGCTTCATTAATATTTCAGTGATGATGTTGCAATTTTCCAACAACTGTCAGAGCTTTGCTTCTTGACATGTATCAAAACAGACTAAGTTACATTCAATATTCATGTATCTGTCCTTGACCAAAAAACAATTTTGATGTATCCAATGTTTCCAAACTCACACCCATATATATAAACAATATAAGTTTATATTGTATCCACCCTGCTTAACCTCAGGATGTTTCATCCAGTCACCCATTTAACCCTTCCACTCGCTGAAGTTTTCTTCCTTCCTACGGACCTATCACCAGGGAATTTCATCTTAAATAGAATTCCCATTCCTACGCCTAAGAAGCCAGGTGTGTCTCCTGTGCCCACACGCTTCGCGGTGATGCTGAACGAGACTTCCATTTGCACAGACATCTAGAACCTGCGGGAGGAAGCGCTGTCAGTCGGATGCTTTGTCTCCAGGCTCAGAAGGCCGGGATTGCATGTACACGTATGTCAGACACTACATAAAAACAGCACCATAGCCCAGCAGAGAGGCAGCTCCTTAGGCAAAGCCGCACAGGCGACCGCCCCAGGCGGCCAAAGCCGAGGCGATTGTTCCTCGGGTGCCGGACCCGGAGGCGGCGGGCGGTGGCGGCTCTCACCCCAGAGGGATCAGGGCTCCCTGGGGACCTGGCGCCAGGCGGCCGCCGGCCACCTGCAAACGCCGGCGGGGGTCTCCCGGGGGAGGGGGGGCGCCGGGCCGGCGGGGACCCGCCGCCAGCCCCCGGCCGGGCCGTCCCGCAGGTCCCCGCACCACGGGGGCCCGCCCCCGGCACCACAGCCGGCCCCGGCCGCGCCACCAGCCCGCAGCCCTCCCGCCACCGCCGCCGCGTCCGTCCTCACCTGACAGCCACCCGCACGGAGCTCTCGTCCGGGGCGCCCCACATGCCGGCGGCGGGCGACGGCCGGGCCCCTGGGCTTCGGCACCGCGGAGCGGAGGCGCCTCCGGGCTGCGCCGCGGCGCTCGGGGCGCAGGAGGCTGCGGCGGCGGGGGGCGGCCGGCTCACCTCCGCCGCGCTCCAGCCATGTTGGGCGACTGAATGGAAAGGTGGCGGCGGCGCCGAGGCAGGAGGGGGAGGAGGAGGTGATTCACGGCTGGCGGGCGACCGCCCCTTCTCCCCCACTCACCCCCCGGGAACTGGGGCGGGGACACGGCGCGCTTGAATGGCGA